CACCTTTCGGCATGGGCTGTGGCAGCTGCCTGAGCCCTGAGACATGTTGGGATAAGTTTCTCACGTGTAACATCTTCCTTAAATGTATGTATCAGAATATATAATATCAGAACACCTCCAAAATACTCATCAGATATCCACAAAACCCTGCCCATATCCCCTTTGGGGTGGATCGCTGTGGTTCCCTGGAAATTAGTGATGTTTTTTCTGATTTATACTCACAGAGCGCTTGGCCTGAGCGCCGAGCTTCTCCGAGTGACTGGCATTACTACATGAGGGCAGCTACGGTAATTCATTACCCCAAGTCCAAATGTCAGCTCACAGGGAGGGAGGAGGCAAGATTAGAGGAGTCTGCTGAAATCTGGCATCAGCATGAAAATCGTGACAAACCTAACAGAGATCAATCAGCATAAATGTGTGTGATGCAAGGACGTTGACTGAGATAATGCGGTTGTCAAAGGCACTGAGATTTTTATTTTAACCCATGATTTTTTCATAATTATTTTGCAGCTGGAGTAATTACCATCCTATTTAATGAGCACAGCTCATTTAATAGAGGACACTTGGGCTAACATGCACTAATTAAGTCTGTAATCACTAAAAGTATGATTGAAGGTTTTGAACTGGCCAATCGTTCTCAGTAATACCATAATTAGAGACATTGCAGCTCATCAGAGCGCAGGAGAAATTCAAGGGGTCTTGATCACCCAATAGTGTACATGGGTCTTGATCCTGCCTTGGATCGTCCTTCTACCTGATACTCTGCATTGGTTTACAGTGGTTCATAAACTACCCTGAATACGTTCCACTCAGCCCCGTAACCTGAATGCACTTCCAGAGTTTTATTTTCATAATTTGGCCTACGGGTCTTGCATATCACCTGGGCGTAAGAACAGCTTCTCTAATCCCCACCTGTCTGCTTGTCTCATGTGGCCCCAGCGGCAGCTGTGAAAGACTCCCGAGGAGCTCCGACAGCACTAATTGCAGTGAGATACTGAAAGAACTTGAAAAAGATAGCTGAAACCATAAAATAAACCCTTCTGTTTCTTCCTACAAAGGAAGGCTCAGAACTGAGTGAAAAAGATCAAGAGTTTTCATAATCTAATGGCCAAGATAAGGGGACCCGGCAGCATATTTCTTTCTGCCTTCTGCAATGCAGTGGAGGCGAACGTGCCTCTGGGATTCAGTTTTATCTTCCGCTGAGCTCGGCTCTTTGGGTTATCAGGAAGTCAGGCTTTCTCTCCGCTGTTGGCTGTGATTAGCTGGCCACAGTGATGTCTGAATATTTTAAGACTGCAGCTCACTACAGTGGAAAGAATTTAAAAAAAACCAGAGCTTAAAAAGTCAGAAATCTGTATATCAGGGAGGATTTTGTGGAGAACCTCATATTCCAGCTGCAAAACGCCAGCAAAAGAATATTTCTATTTTCGTGTATTTTTACACTATTTGCTAATAACAGCTGCCCAGAATGAAAAAACAAAAGAAGCCAAATACATTTTGCAACTTAGGTCTTGCTGGAAATAAGAGAAATACTGAAATTAAATTGTATTACCTTTCTTTTTCCTCCTTATTTTCCTTTCAGTTTCATCAGTGTTATCTGTCTATCAAGGATAATTTATTTTTCCCCATTTTTGTAATAGGATGAGCTTGTTCGCAGGTATCTGAACTTGAGGCAGAGTAACTAATTGCTCTGCAAGCAATCAGTCACTGAAAAAAAAAGTCTGGTTCTCTCTCCCGTGTACTGGTCCAGGGGCTTTGGTCTCTGGGCTATTTTTTCCAATCTGGGTTATTTTAAGCAATTCACTCGTGCCTCTCATCTTAAAATAAAGGCAATGCCATAAAAAGACGGCAGTATTTTTCCATTCTACCACGACGCAGAAAGGCCTGGGCCTTTTTCACTTGTTTTTCACAGGTTCCCGGTTGAAAGTACAGCGGTCCTGGACCAAAATGCTGCAGTTCGTACACAGATACAACCCAGATACGCCCAACGGGCTTGGGCGAGCTTGGCCTTTGGTTCCCTTTTCTCCTTTCACACTTCCCCATGGGAGATGCCTCAGTCCGCAACCACAAATGCCTCCCCGCGGCGTCACTGCTGGCAGCCCCACAGCCAGCCGTCCACAGCCCCACAGCCAGCCGTCCACAGCCCCACAGCCAGCGCGGGGGCTCCCTGGCAGCCGATTGTCGTGGTTTAACCTCAGCCGGCAACTGAGCACCGCACAGCCGCTCACTCACTCCCCCCCCCCGGTGGGATGGGGGAGAGAATTGGAAGAGTAAAAGTGAGAAAACTCGTGGGTTGAGATAAGAACAGTTTAATAATTGAAATAAAATAATAATAATAGAATATACAAAGCAAGTGATGCACGATGCAATTGCTCACCACCTGCCGACCGATGCCCAGCCAGTCCCCGAGCAGCGGCCCCCCCGGCCAGCCTCCCCCAGTTTATGTACTGAGCATGACGTCCCATGGGATGGAACGTCCCTTTGGCCAGTTTGGGTCAGCTGTCCTGGCTGTGCCCCCTCCCAGCTTCGGGTGCACCTCCAGCCTGCTCAGTCAGTAGAGCGTGGGAAGCTGAAAAGTCCTCGACTAGTGTAAGCACTGCTCAGCAACAACTAAAACATCAGTGTGTTATCAACTTTGTTCTCACCCTAAATCCAAAGCACAGCACTGTACCAGCTACTAGGAAGGAAATTAACTCTGTCCCAGCCGAAACCAGGACACTGTATCACAAATCTTCCTGCGTTTGGGGTAGCAGGAGCTATCGTGAGATTTAATTCCAACCCTCGGCCGTTGGCAGCCGGACCCACTCCCCTCCAGCCAGGCTGCCCGTGCCAGCAACGCCTGGTCTTGCTGTCATCGAAGGAAAATGGCCTTAGTGCTCCGGTTCGGTTGGCACTTTTGCAAAGCAGCTGCACTGTGGATAGACACAGCTTCATTTGCCCATCTTAGTCGTCATTTTAGCGTCTTTCAGATACTAAAGTATGTAAATCTCGGTCTGTATATTTTGCAGGCGTGAGACTTTAAACGGGCAGGCCAGCGTGGCCAGGCACAGTCGGACACAGCACGACCCCCCCCCCCACCATGCTGCAGACATGAGGGGCCCAGGG